GCAGAGCAAGTGTGATGTAAAAGCAGGATAAAACCAAAACAGGGTTATTCCCTAACATATACAATATATCTGACACGAGAACACATTAAATAACCCTGCAAGAGTGTTATATTAGAAACCAGTAAAACAAGCAAATTAAAGAGTTGGGTAGAACCACGTTACTGTCCAAAACAGCATTGCACATATTCGCACCAATCTTTGTGTTAATACATTATTTTGAACACAATGAGTCATTCCTATACCGTTTCACAGCTGTTAAAATAATTACACTTTTACACCAATGCAGAGCAACTTAATACAATGTTGACATTGTGAGATCTGCAGTGGTATGTGGGTCAGACATCAAACAAATGACTGCGAGCTAGGCTTCCATGTGTGTTCGAAAGAAGATAAAACATAATACTTTGACCTACAAGGTGCTGGCGCATGGTCATATTTACATCGGGAATAAACAGTACAGTCCCCTGAGCTTCTATTGTGTTCAGGAAATTGATGATAAAATTGTAAATAGGTGGGAACTAGGTGGAGGTATGTGTGTGTATATCTGTATATTTGTGTGTAAATGAATGTGAATATGTGTCAATTAATGTGGGTTTATCTGTGTGGAGGTATGGATGTAGATGAATGTGGGTGTATAGGTGTATCTGTGTGGAGCTGGTTGTATGGATGAATGTGTTTGGAGGAAGGTGTGTTGATGAATGTGGGTGTGTGGATGTATGTGTATGGAGATATGTGTGTTGAATGTGGGTGTGTGGATGTATGTGTATGGAGGTAGGACTGTGGGTGTATCTGTGTGGAGTTATGTGTGTAGAGGACTGTGGGTGTCTGGATGTATGTGTATGGAGATATGTGTGTTGATGAATGTGTGTGGAGGTAGGTTTGTAAATGTACCTCTGTAGAGCTAGGCGTGTGGATGTATGGGTATGGAGGTAGGTCTGTGGGTGTGTCTGTGTGGAGGTATGTGTGTAGATGAATGTGGTGTGTGGATAATGTGTACATAGGCAGGTGTGTGGGTGTATCTGTGTGGAGGTATGTGTGTAAATACGTGTGGGTGTATCTGTGTGGAGGTATGTGTGTAAATACGTGTGGGTGTATCTGTGTGGAGGTATGTGTGTAAATACGTGTGGGTGTATCTGTGTGGAGGTATGTGTGTAGATGAGTATGGGTATATCTGTGGGGAGGTATGTGTGTGTAAGTAAGTGTGGGTGTATCTGTGTGGAGGTATGTTTATAGATAAGTGTGGGTGTGTGTATCCAGGGGCGGACTGACCGGTCGGGCACTTCGGACATGGTCCGAGGGCCCGGCCGGCAAGGGGGCCCGCCGCTGCCGTGCACATAACATAATGTGCACGGACTTCAAAAATCATTTTGTAGGCGATCGGGGGGCGGGCTTGGCGCAGCATACTTACCTCTATAGGAGGAGGAGGGGCCCGGTCCTGTGCGCGGAGGTGCGTCGACGTCACTACGTGACGTGATGACGTCGACGGGCGCCGCCTGCACGGGACCGGAAGCCATGCTGTCCTGAATAACTTGAATCCCAGCAGGTCTTCAGATCCCAGCAGCCAGCCAAGCAAGGTCGGCAAGGCGCCCAGGCCCCCAGCAGCCAGCCAGAGGCCCAGGCCCCCCAGCCAGCCAGCCAGCCAGAGGCCCAGGCCCCCCAGCCAGCCAGAGGCCCCCCAGCCAGGCAGCCAGCCAGAGGCCCCCCAGCCAGGCAGCCAGCAGAGGCCCCCCCAGCCAGCCAGCCAGCCGGGCAGCCAGAGGCCCCCGCCAGCCAGCTGTAGCCAGAGGCCCCCAGCCAGCCAGCCAGCCAGAGGCCCCCAGCCAGCCAGCCAGCCAGGAGGCCCCCAGCCAGCCAGCCAGGAGGGCCCCCCAGCCAGCCAGCCACAGAGGCCCCCCAGCCAGCCAGCCAGCCAGAGGCCCCAGCCAGCCAGCCAGAGGGGCCCAGGGCCCCCAGCCAGCCAGCCAGAGGCCCAGGCCCCCCAGCCAGAGGCCCAGGCCCCCCAGCAGCCAGCCAGCCAGAGGCCCAGGCCCCCCAGCCAGCCACAGGCCAGCCGCCGCCCGCCCACCACAGGCCCCCCAGCCAGCCAGCCACAGGCCGCCCGCCCGCCACAGGGCAGCCGCCGCCGCCCGCCACAGGCCAGCCAGCCTGCCCGCCCGCCACCCACAGGCCAGCTGCCCACAGCCATCCACAGGCCAGCAGCCGGCCACAGGCCTACAGCCAGCAAGCCCACAGCCTGCCAGCCGCGGCCACAGACTGCCAACCAGCAACCGTAATTGAGGTAAGAGGAGCCAACTTGGCCTAGGTATCAGAGGTATCAAGAGGTGTCCCAAGACAGCAATGTAAACACTGTCTTTTCTCTGAAAAGATAGTCTTTACATTAAAAATCCTGCACGGACATGCTACAGATACCAGAACAACTACATTAAGCTGCAGTGGTTCTGATGACTATAGTGTCCCCTTAAGAATTGTGTTTTTCATTTTTTAAAATGAAGCTTTGTTCGTTTAACCCCTTGAGGACCAAACTTCTGGAATAAAAGGGAATCATGACATGTCACACATGTCATGTGTCCTTAAGGGGTTAAAAAGACTGGCTGCTAACTTTTTAGCTGACTCCTAGATTTCAAACAAATTTGTCAAGCCATGCATTATAGTAACTTTTGTTAGAAAAATAAAAAATATATAAAATCACTTATAACATTCACGGAGCACATATATATGAAACCGTGAATCTGCACTCTCTTAAATGTGCTTACATTATGGGACACATTGACTTTGTGACAAGCTGATGCAGATGATCATATACTGTAGCTAGAGTACCTCTATTTTTGCTTCATTCCTGTGTTTTTTTTTTAAAACAATTATATTTTTCAAAACGTGGGTGAGTGTACTGGATTTTGTATAGTTTATAGCAGGAGTGCACGAAAGGTAGCTACCCAGATGTTGTAGAACTACAACTCCCATGATGCTTTGCATGCTTTTAGAATGGCAAAGCATTGTATAAGCTGTTGTTTAAAAACATCTGGGAATCTACCTTTTGGGCACCCTTTTTAAATAAATAAAAAAAATATATATATATATCTCTATCTAAAAAAAATATTTTTTGACTATATTAAATATATATATTTTTAAAACTCATTCGCCAGTACTCCAGTATTCTATTCGGCCGAATGCTAGTCTGCATCAATGCATACAAAATAAACCCTTTATTTACTTAAAGGGACACTACAATCACCCAGACCACTTCAGCTCAATGAAGTGGTCTGGGTGCCTGGCCCCCTAGGTTTTAAACCATCAAATGTAAAACTAGCAGTTTCAGAGAAACTGCTATGTTTACATTGCAGGATTAATCCAGCCTCTAGTGGCTGTCTTCCTGACAGCTGCTAGAGGCGCTTCTGTGACACTGGATGCGAAAATCGTGCTCTTGCCGCGGATTACGCCCCACTTGGGAGCTGACGCCGGCGGGGGTGGAGAGGTCACCGCGAGTCACTGCACTGGATAAAGGTAAGTGGCTGAAGGGGTTTTAACTCCTTTAGCACACCGGAAGGGGGAACCTAAGGGTTATATAGTGTCAGTAAAACGAGTTTGTTTTCCTGACACCGTGGTGATCCTTTAACTGATCCCTGCGCCAATATCCCTCTGCAGTGGGTTGATGCTTGATTTTCTTTCTTTAATCGTCGTTTTTCTCAGAAGGACTGGAGCTCGAGTTGGCACGTCTGCTCTCTATTTATGATTTGTAATACTCTGGCTTTGTCTGTTTATGATTTGTATTGCTCTGGTTTTGTCTGTTTATGATTTGTATTGCTCTGGTTTTGTCTGTTTGATTTGTATTACTCTGGTTTTGTCTATTTATGATTTTGTAATGCACTTGTTTTGGTTTGTTTATGATTTTGTAATGCACTTGTTTTGGTTTGTCTATGATTTTGTAATGCACTTGTTTTGGTTTGTCTATTTATGATTTTGTAATGCACTTGTTTTGGTTTGTCTATTTATGATTTTGTAATGCACTTGTTTTGGTTTGTCTATTTATGATTTTGTAATGCACTTGTTTTGGTTTGTCTATTTATGATTTTGTAATGCACTTGTTTTGGTTTGTCTATTTATGATACTCTGGCTTTGTCTGTTTATGATTTTGTAATGCACTTGTTTTTGTTTGTCTATCATTGGTAATGCAATTGTCTTTGTGCATTTGTTTATTTTGCACAGTTTGGTTTTTGCATTCGTTAATTAAATTACACTTGTTTAGAACATATTGCACTTTTGTTCTTTGTGTCTAAAGATTGTGTAGGGTGTGGCTGGAGGAGGGGCATGGAGGTGGGACAAGGGTGGGGCTTGCGACAGAACGTGGGTGGGGCCTGAAGGGGGCCCTTGATTTATTTTGCCCGGGGGCCCTGAGTGTTCTCAGTCCGCCCCTGTGTGTATCTGTGTGGAGGTACGTGTGTAGATAAATGTGAGTGTGTGGGTGTATACGGATCTAAACACACCACATGTCTCCATGTATAAACGGCCCATAAGAGAATTATGTATTTTATTATAAGACATTCGACACTGGTGGTGGCCTTATATTGTACTGAACAAGTGCAGCTCATGAAGAATGGAGAAAGTCTTACCTAGTGTAACTTCAGACTGCATAGGCATGGAGAGTGCTGGGTGCTTCACTTCACAGCTAAACAGAGCTTCATTATCCACTTGTGGGTTTAAAGTCCAGGTGAGCATTGCTCGAACCTCCACTGTCCCATCACTCATTGGAAGATGCATTTGGTGGAAGAAATAAGCAGGATCCGTACTGTGAACCCAACGCGGAAATTCTAGACTGACCACCGTTTCTGGGATGGCCTCCGTCACAGGGATGGACATAGGTTCTTGGTCACCTGTACGTATTCGGAAAGGTTTTTCAGTGAAAGGACTCAGCCCCCTCTCCTCTGTATCCAGCAGTGAAAGGGATTTTTGCATTTTAGTGTCGTCCATATCCCGATTAAGTAGGTTCTTTGACGCCCGATAGGCCATCAGTCCGGCTGCAGCAGCTGGGGGCTCTGCCATTGGAACAACTTCAATAAATTCCCCGTCCCTCTTGAATGAAACCTGAAGAAAAACATATTCAGAAAATTACTCCCAACCTCTTCCCAGACCATTGTTTATTTTACCCATGCATTGCCTGCCGAGGAAGATGATACTGCAGCTAGCTATGAATTCTAGTCAGACGGTGTCTATCAGTCTCTCTGCATAATTAGATGGTAAGTTCAGGAACAATGAACACACTTCTCTAGTATGGATTAAATATTTATAACAGCAAGCCCCGGTGTCGGATTAAATGCGAGGTTAATGAGTGAAGATGTCACACTGTAAATACACATTAATATTATTTAGTTGTAAACACAGACACATCCTACATATTCTGCAAAAAGCAGACACGAAAGGCATAGAGATTTATATCAGACTGAAAGTGCACCCGTCATGCAAAGTTTCACCTGCAGGGCTATTCACTAAGCTGGGAGTTTTCTGGGATTGATAAGGAAATTAGATATTTCTGCTTGTTCCCAAACTAGACCTCGAATAGCTTGTTTAATTCGCTAAATATCTACATAGTCTAGGTCAAACAGGATGGGGTGCTATTGGTGATGTGCATGGCCATAAAGTGGGCATATATACACAAGGATAACAGGCTGCCCGGGAAAGTGGCAAACGCATGTTTAAACTTATCCTGACAAATACCTCCCATGAATCCCTATGTAGGGGGGAGAATCCCTACTTTGGTCCCAAACCCTCTGTCCCTCTTTGCTATCCTAATGTCCCTCTTTTCCAGGAGTTCCATATTGTTGGTGTGTCTGAGTGTATAACGGAGCTCCACAGCAATAATACTCCCAGTAATGTATCTGAGTGTATAACAGAGCTCCACAGCGATAATACTCCCAGTAATGTGTCTGAGTGTATAATGGAGCTCCACAGCAATAATACTCCCAGTAATGTGTCTGAATGTATAACAGAGCTCCACAGCAATAATACTCCCAGTAATGTGTCTGAGTGTATAACAGAGCTCCACAGCAATAATACTCCCAGTAATGTGTCTGAGTGTATAACAGAGCTCCACAGCAATAATACTCCCAGTAATGTGTCTGAGTGTATAACAGAGCTCCACAGCAATAATACTCCCAGTAATGTGTCTGAGTGTATAACAGAGCTCCACAGCAATAATACTCCCAGTAATGTGTCTGTGTGTATAACAGAGCTCCACAGCAATAATACTCCCAGTAATGTGTCTGAGTGTATAACAGAGCTCCACAGCAATAATACTCCCAGTAATGTGTCTGAGTGTATAACAGAGTTCCACAGCAATAATACTCCCAGTAATGTGTCTGAGTGTATAACAGAGCTCCACAGCAATAATACTCCCAGTAATGTGTCTGAGTGTATAACAGAGCTCCACAGCAATAATACTCCCAGTAATGTATCTGAGTGTATAACAGAGCTCCACAGCAATAATACTCCCAGTAATGTGTCTGAGTGTATAACAGAGCTCCACAGCAATAATACTCCCAGTAATGTGTCTGAGTGTATAACAGAGCTCCACAGCAATAATACTCCCAGTAATGTGTGTGAGTGTATAACAGAGCTCCACAGCAATAATACTCCCAGTAATGTGTCTGAGTGTATAACAGAGCTCCACAGCAATAATACTCCCAGTAATGTGTCTGAGTGTATAACAGAGCTCTCCAGCAATAATACTCCCAGTAATGTGTCTGAGTGTATAACAGAGCTCCACAGCAATAATACTCCCAGTAATGTGTCTGAGTGTATAACAGAGCTCCACAGCAATAATACTCCCAGTAACGAGTCTGAGTGTATAACAGAGCTCCACAGCAATAATACTCCCAGTAATGTGTCTGAGTGTATAACAGAGCTCCACAGCAATAATACTCCCAGTAATGTGTCTGAGTGTATAACAGAGCTCCACAGCAATAATACTCCCAGTAATGTGTCTGAGTGTATAACAGAGCTCCACAGCAATAATACTCCCAGTAATGTGTCTGAGTGTATAACAGAGCTCCACAGCAATAATACTCCCAGTAATGTGTCTGAGTGGGTAACAGAGCTCCACAGCAATAATACTCCCAGTAATGTGTCTGAGTGTATAACAGAGCTCCACAGTAATAATACTCCCAGTAATGTGTCTGAGTGTATAACTGAGCTCCACAGCAATAATACTCCCAGTAATGTGTCTGAGTGTATAACAGAGCTCCACAGCAATAATACTCCCAGTAATGTGTCTGAGTGTATAACAGAGCTCCACAGCAATAATACTCCCAGTAATGTCTGAGTGTATAACAGAGCTCCACAGCAATAATACTCCCAGTAATGTGTCTGAGTGTATAACAGAGCCCACAGCAATAATACTCCCAGTAATGTGTCTGAGTGTATAACAGAGCTCCACAGCAATAATACTCCCAGTAATGTGTCTGAGTGTATAACAGAGCCCCACAGTAATAATATTCCCAGTAATGTGTCTGAGTGTATAACAGAGCTCCACAGCAATAATACTCCCAGTAATGTGTCTGAGTGTATAACAGAGCTCCACAGCAATAATACCCCCAGTAATGTGTCTGAGTGTATAACAGAGCTCCACAGCAATAATACCCCCAGTAATGTGTCTGAGTGTATAACAGAGCTCCACAGCAATAATACTCCCAGTAATGTGTCTGAGTGTATAACAGAGCTCCACAGCAATAATACTCCCAGTAATGTGTTGGAGTGTATAACAGAGCTCCACAGTAATAATACTCCCAGTAATGTGTCTGAGAGAATAACAGAGCTCCACACCAATAATACTCCCAGTAATGTGTCTGAGTGTATAACAGAGCTCCACAGCAATAATACTCCCAGTAATGTGTCTGAGTGTATAACAGAGCTCCACAGCAATAATACTCCCAGTAATGTGTCTGAGTGTATAACAGAGCCCCACAGTAATAATACTCCCAGTAATGTGTCTGAGTGTATAACAGAGCCCCACAGTAATAATACTCCCAGTAATGTGTCTGAGTGTATAACAGAGCTCCGCAGCAATAATACTCCTAGTAATGTGTTTTTAAACTACATAAACTACAATAAATGTTTTTAGACATCAGTCTATGGAAATAAGATATTTTCTTGTTATAAGTTACATTTTAGTTGTATAAATAGTTATTAGTGAGACACCTAATATTGGCCACACCCACACATGGCCACACCCACGTGTAAATTAACAACACCCCTAAAAATAAAGTGTCTTTCTTTGTTATGTGGGTGGGGGCTAGTCAGAGCCAGTCCATGAGCCTTCCTATATTCTGTAACAAGGATATTGTGTCTTTTTACTATATTACTAATATTGTTTTATTGTGTTATTTATATCCACACTTTCATTTAGTTTATTTGAAAATGTTAATAATTTCAACTAACTTTTAATAAAATAATGCCGCAATTTTAGATCAACCTTTAAAAGCATTGCAAATTAACAAGTACCGGATTCACCGCATTATAATACAGTATAAATGTGAAATAAATAACAGAGGTAAACAACACACAGCTTCATTAACAAATAATGCTCAGCAGAGGGAAACAGATTAATTGTACCCCGATCTATAACCTATAAACCCAGTATTTTTGTGTCGGTTTCTGGAAGCCATAGTTGTTGGTTTTTACCGCAGTAGCAATTCAGACAATCTTTTCGTGTCATGACATTTATATTTTTTTACCTCTGAATAATTCATTATAGCCACTTTATTTGCAGAATGCTGGAAAATGTCTAATTAGTCAGAAACAAGAGGAAGGGTACAGCATGCTGGTATAAAATCTGTCTATATCTACACAAACAAGGGTTGCACTCGAGTGATACCGGGTCATGATCCTACAGGAACACTTACATTTAAAGGGACGCTCTATACAACATGTGTGTTAAAGGGACACCGTAGGCACCTAGACCACTTCCTCTCATTCCCTGTCCCTTTCCCTTTCCCTGTCCCTTTAACCTGGCAATATAAAGCACTGCAGTTGACATTGCCATGTTGACATTGCAGTGCTAAGGCTGCCTCTAGTAAATGTCTACCAGTCAGCCACTAGGGGCGCTTCCTGCATTCTCACGGAGTTTGACTCTATAAAACAAGGGTGGACGTCCTCATGCAAAACGTTTTGCAAATCTTCGTAGGAAAGCATGGATTCATGGAAAGCATGAAGGCTCACTGCACCTGCCGATGTCAGAGGAGGCGGAGCCAGCGCAGTGAGACCTCAGCGCTTAAAACAGGTAAGTGTTTAAAGGATTTTTAACCCTTTGATTGTTGCAGGTGGGGGAGGGCTGGCAGGGGCAGAGGAACACTATAGTTTTACAAGACAGCTTTGTATTCCTAACACTATAGTGTTCCTTTAATGTCCATTCTGTTATTATTTATGTGTCACTAACATGATTATTGACTGAAGTGAGAATTTAAAGTGAATTTCAAAGTTAAGGTCAAAATAGCCGAACTGGAAAAATTCTCTAAGTCAGATATTCTTTCATTTTGGCTTCTCTGCCTTTAATGAGAAATTTCCTTTCATTTCTGACTTTATAGCTGAAATAAAACGTCCATAAACCCTGGCTGCGAAGACTACAGGTGCTTTGCCAAAAAATAACACTAACTTGTGGCTTCAGTTGCTGGTTTATTTCCCTTCTTATTCAGATATTGCAACGACGTGATCTTGCATCATGGTTAAAATGAAAAATAAGCATCTGTCCCTTGTAGGACTGAAACGGCTGCTTCAGTAAAAACATCCTTTGACTAATCCAACATTCTTTGAAAATATTTGGTGCAAACAGATATCAGGCATATTAACTCACTTGTGTTTCGTAGTACAAGATCTTGATATTTTTGATATATAAATGTTTTTAATCAAGCAGCAACACTTCATATTAACCTGGACAATTCATCTAACCTGGACAATATCAACAGCAAAAAACAGATGTGTGGAAGGCTGACTTGAAGGACGTGCATGGCTCTATGTAACTATTGATGATCGGAGGTCTTTGCCAGCTGACTTTCGAGATTAGTGAGATATCCCCAGAGAGCCGTTAAAATCTTTTGGGATTTATATCAAACGCAATAAGTTTAAATATAAGCTCATTTTTTTTTATATATTTTTTAAAAATATTTTTAAATATATAAAACAATATAAATGAGCAAATCCCAGCCTAAAGCCTTTTATCTAACAGGTTTCTAAACAAAACTGAATAGTGGGTACAAGCTTAACAAGTTGCAAAATGAAGACGAAAATAGCACAAAATTCTACACCTAAGCGAGTTTTCCATCTTCAATATCGTTTAAAAGAAAGTGGATGCTATTATTGGTAAATGCTTGGTTGCCAAAATGTTCGGTTTTGCAAGTGTTTTGGGTGTAAAGGGTCAATTTTTGGGGATGGCCACACATAGATTTACACAGCCTCCCCATCAGACCAGGGAAAGAATAAAGGGAGCAAGGATGACTGAACCCCCATAGCAGCTAATGTTTTCAAAACGAAATGGTCAACTGACAACTGACTATTTTTAGGACAGAAAGCTGAACCACAAAAAGTGGGCTACTGGTACTTTGTCCCAGAATTTCCGTCACTTAGTCTTGATACATACAGCCCTAAGACTCTGCTCACATGAATTCTATTTACTAATGTAGTTATCATGATAGAATAATAGAAAACGATTTTGAGAAAGTTCAGGTGCATTCTAATCTTCTTAGTAAATCAAATATATATATATATTCGCTGGCTATAAATCAGTATTTAGTCTGCTTAGTGCAAACTAACATATTGGAATTTGAGGTTATTGGGTGATTAATTAAAAATAATCTGAGAAATCTAACATGTCAGCATGTTGCTGAAACTCTCATAATACTGTTGGTAATCATTTTACATTCCCTCTAACATAAAAAGAGATTAAATCGAGAGGTTGGATAAAAAAAAAATAGGATTGGTCGATACTGATTTTACAATACTCCTTATCTATTAACTGCCATCTAAAATATAAATAAAGTTTGGGCTGTAAATCCATCTGTGAAATAGGTATACCGTGGCGCTTTTATATTGATCAAAGATGAATTTATTAAGACAGATGTGTAAAGTATTTAAGACAAAAGATGTTTTTTCTTCAAAAAGACAGATTGATCAGAGACATGTGTTACTTAACAGGAGGGGGGTTCAGAGACAGAAAATACTTTTTAAATGTTCCATTTAATCACTGGTAGATAGGATGTAAAGATTATTCCATAGATGAAAGAAGCTTGATCATGGATGGGCTGCGAATGCGACAAAATGTCCATGTGTTCCTCAATTAATTGAGATATCAGGCAAAAGACATGCTGGTTGGATGGTGTCGAGAGCAGGAGCTCTGTATGGTGTCTCTCAATAAAGAGTTTTCATGTGAATCAACAGCAGAATAAGTTGTACTAATGAATGGAAACTGGAGAACTGCTATAAATATTTCCTGGTTTGATCAATTCCAGTTTGTGATACATATATACACATCTAGGATATAGGAGACATGGGGTAGGGGACATGGAGGGGGGAGAGACATTGATGGAAGGGTTTGGTGAATTCCAGTTTGTGATATTTCATAGTTATGGAATATCTAGGATAAAGGGGACATGGGGTAGGGGACATGGAGGGGGGAGGGACATGGATGGAAGGGTTTGATGAATTCCAGTTTGTGATATTTCATAGTTATGGAATATCTAGGATAAAGGGGACATGGGGTAGGGGACATGGAGGGGGGAGAGACATTGATGGAAGGGTTTGGTGAATTCCAGTTTGTGATATTTCATAGTTATGGAATATCTAGGATAAAGGGGACATGGGGTAGGGGACATGGAGGGGGGAGGGACATGGATGGAAGGGTTTGATGAATTCCAGTTTGTGATATTTCATGGTTATGGAATATCTAGGATAAAGGGGACATGGGGTAGGGGACATGGAGGGGGGAGGGACATGGATGGAAGGGTTTGATGAATTCCAGTTTGTGATATTTCATGGTTATGGAATATCTAGGATAAAGGGGACATGGGGTAGGGGACATGGAGGGGGGGGGGACATGGATGGAAGGGTTTGATGAATTCCAGTTTGTGATATTTTCCAGTTATGGAATATGGGGTAGGGGACATGGAGGGGGGAGAGACATGGATGGGGGAGAGACATGGCTGGAAGGGTTTGGTGAATTCCAGTTTGTGATATTTCATAGTTATGGAATATCTAGGATATAGGAGACATGGGGTAGGGGACATGGAGGGGGAGGGACATGGATGGAAGGGTTTGGTGAATTTCAGTTTGGGATATTTCATAGTTATGGAATATCTAGGATAAAGGGGACATGGGGTAGTGGGCAT